CCTGATGGCATATGTTTGTAAATATTTTCTAAAATTTCTTTAGTCGCCGGTTTTCCAAAGTTCAAAAAAAAATCTGATTCCACAGCTACTAATTATTGTTTACACTTTCGAATAAGATAACATCAACTACTTAATCATGAAATTTTCAAATGCTTTTCTCTTGAAAATGGTGCGTCCCAGCAAGATGCTACAAAAGTAATTTTATTATAAATAGAACATTGGTTTTCCAAATTTTATAGCCAAAAACATTAAAAACTGTCAACAAAAAAAACTTAGGGCAATTTTACCCTAAGCCCCTCCCCCTCAATTTATCCACCTATGAAGATGATCAAAAACTAAGATTTAGTTCATTAAATAGAGCATTTGTACAAATTTCACTTAGTTATCTTTAAACGATTAGAAAATATTTACAAAAGTGTGTTAACAGGACCTCACTTTTAACACCCTGTATCTCGCTGTTAAAATATAAACGTCTAATTTCGGGACACCCTGTATACTTATGAAAAATGTATGTATGAAAAATGTATGTGTGAAAAATGTTTGTACAAAAAATATATGTATGAAATATGTATGTATGAAAAATCTATGTATAAAAAATATATGCATAAAAAATGTGGGTATAATAAATGTATGTATGAAAAATGTATGAATGAAAAATATATGTATGAAAACCTGGTCCTTCTATTGGACTGACAACATCGGTAGTTACAGAACTAATTAAACAACATTTCTTTGTGAAATTCGAGGCAAGATAGGATGAAACAAGAAAATGCAAAGTTGTCAAGGAGCTTTTAAGTTATCCTGACAACACTACAACAAACAAATACTTGACTATGACTAGACAGAATCGGCGTCTGATCACATTCTTTCTGACTGGCCATTGCCAAGTACGGAAGCATCTCCATATCATTGGTCTGTCAGAATCTGCACTCTGCAGGGAATGCGAACAAGAAGATGAGATCATCGAGCATACCCTCTACGATTGCTCAACAATCTCATTTATTAGCAGATTTGTGTTCGACGAGTATCTGCTAATACCGGCTGATATAAAAGAAGCACCTCTTAGCGACGTTGTTAACTACATTAAAAATCTGTAGGCTGACTCACGAGTTAGGAGAAGGTGCCTATCAACTTAGGAGGAAGCACAATGGGCCTAGTGAGGCCTAAGTGCTGTGTGGTAACTCACCCTCCGCGCGTTACAAATACCGATGTATTTACAAAAAATGTAGATATGTATGAAAATTAATGTATGTATGAAGAATGTATATATGAAAAATATAAGTATGAAAAATATATATATAAAAAAATGTATGTATACCATGGAGCATATCCTCTACGATTGCTCGACGCTCTCATTTATTAGAAGATTCGTGTTTGGCGAGTATCGGCTAACACCGGCCGATATAAGAGAAGCACCTCTTGGCGACGCTGTCAACTACATTAAATCTGTAGACTGGCTCACAACCTAGGAGGTGCCTATCATCTTAGGAGGATGCACAATGGGTCTAGTGAGGCCTAAGTGCTGTGTGGTAACTCACCCTCCACACGTTACAGATACAGATATCGATTCTTCATAAATATGTATATTAAACTTAGATAAAAGAAACAACAGATGAAGTATTTCATTCATAACGAAACATTTGTTTGGTCCCAATTATTGGAAAAGAGAAACAAGATATTTTATACAGATTGAAAGAACACAGACTGTAATTCTAGATCTCGTCTGGCAACGCTGCTGTTACAGGCAATTAAAAGTCTGTCGATACCAGTGGCGTATCTCATTAAAGATAAAATCATAACTATTAATTTACAGTAAATACTAATTTTGTGTAAGTTAAATATAAAAAAAAATCATGAATTACTATACCGGGTGTTCAAATTAAAGCGTTACAGCTATATACCGCTTTTTATAAGAAAAAAAGTTTCAGACGAAAGTTTTATAGTTTTGTGGGGAAAAACTTTTGGCTAAAATCGTTTTTTATTGCTAACCATAATATGGCCAACTTTTTTTTCGCGCAGCAATATTTTCAAGTAGCTGTTACTCAAAAAGTAAAAGTCCAATATAAAAAATATTTCCCTCAAAAGTTTCTTATTTTTTATGTACATAAAATACAGTAGGTATAGAGAAAGTAAAAGTTGAAAAGTCTTTTGGTAGGTAGAGAGGGGGTAAACGTCAAACCACGTCGGACGGCTCCGAGAATTTCGCAGTAATGTTTACCTGCCAGTGTCGTTTCATAGAATAAGTAATTTTAAATTGTTATCGGCGGAACCGGACAATCGCATGTATTTATGGATTATTAATAATTATTAAACATGTATTATAAGATTCAAATTATAATTTTACAAAATTTCAACAGCTATTCACAATTTATTAAACTATTTACTCGAAATTGTTATTAAAATATATAAAATAATTTTGTACGCCAATGTATCGCGTCCACTTCGGTGAGATCCGGTGCCAACCTGTCAATTTATGTGTATAAAGTGGGAGAACTGGCAAAAGCATTTCCAACTTTTACTTCTGTTCTATTAATGCTGCGTTTGAGAATCCACATCGGATGCATCTGAGATGTAAAAAATCTTTGATCACGTGATGCAGTATACGTAAATGTAATGGGACAGATGTGTCCGATGTGGATAAAAAAACGCTCGAGATGTAAAAAATGCATCCGATGTGGATTCTCAAACGCAGCAATAGTCAATATAGTTATCAGGTAGGCTCTGTAATTCTCTCCCTAGGTTAATAATGAACCACTTTTCTACCTGAAAATCAGTCAATAAAGTTAGCTTCTAAAGCTAGTAGTGAAAAAATACAATAAATAAATCTAGATTTATTTTAAACAAATTTACGAATCCAATTTTGAAGTTTATTTGAACAGTTTTTCAAATTGGTAGTAATGAGAGATTTTTAAATTATAACTTAAATTGTTAAGACTAATAAATTTATAAAAGTTAATAAATCAATAAATTTACCATATATAGAGGTCTATTCTGTAACAATTCCTTTATATTTAACGGCCTTTAAAAATATTGGGGGCCTATAAAAATATGTTCGTATTCGTTAATTTACTTCTGTCATTATTTAAACAGATTTCTTTAAGATAATCCTCTAATGTATTTTAAAGATCCGTTTAAATAATGACAGAAGTAAAGAAGAAAATATTTTTAAATGCCGTTAAATATAAAGGAATTGTTACAGAATAGACCCCATACAAAGCTAGGATTTTTAATGGAACGCTACTGATAGCGGATCTGCCGATAAGAATTTTGTAAAATCAAAAAACACGTACAACAATAAACCTACGTTAGTGCTATGCGTTGAAAAAAAATACGTTTTTAGTTAAAAGAGAAAATATTCGTTTCTAAACAATACTACTTTTGTATTTATACTTTTTATTCTATTTTTTCTTGAAATATCCAACTTTTTGTGGTCTCATAATGAATGCGAATATTAAAATAATGTTTTAATATCAGCTTTATCAAATCTAGAGCGTGATTTTCAAAAATGTGATTTACAAAAAAGTTTAATATGTTAGATTCTAAGGTTTTTGCAGTATATGAAAATAATATATCCAAAACCCCCAAAGCATAACACTCTTTTTCGAATACCTTCATTCTCTTCCTACAAGTAAAAGTCAAATATTTCTTGTATACCTACAAGATGTGTCCGATGTGGACAAACGCTCGAGATTCAAAAAAGCATCGGATGTTGATATTCAAACGCTGTAAATAGGTACATGTGATACCTATTACGGCAAAAATCTTTAAATCTACATTACTGAACAATGGAATACATCACATAAAACCTTACTTACTTATGAAAAGACATTTCAACACTCACATCATCCAGTTTTTTGCACAAAATACACTCGCGAACGCGGACCATCTTGTTAGCTATACCTACACTAAAACTATAAGCCGAAATATTTCCAAAAAATATAAAAATCAACAAAAACGCCTGACATGGAACACTTTACTGTAAGGCAACGTCGCAAACTATCGATAGGTAGAGTATGAATAGAACAAAGTTATTTTCAATTGCGGTGTTGACACGTTTAACGCTTTTAAAATCCATGCATTTATTTGCAGGCCTATTAATGGTGTTTGCCATAGTTTAACTTAGTATTAACAAAGTTGTTATTTAGCATTGTTAATGTCATTTTAAACTTCGTTTAACACAACGGTGGAATCGGCCCTTAGTGAGGTAAACACTATTTTTAAATATGAAAGGGATAAACTACACAGTTTGACAACAACGCACCAGGTAACGTATGTCGGTTCTTTTACGAAATAGCTACGCGCTACGTTTCTTTGCAATGATGCGATAATTTCTTTCGTTCGTCCGTTCGTCCCACTGGTGTAGGAATGAACTACACCAACGTACACTAAACCTTTCGTTTGACCCGGTGTAAAACCCACTATACCTTCCTGTGGGCGTTGTGGTGTCCACTGGTGGATATTTTCTCCACCAGCTATTTAACAGGAGTGAATTACACTCGCTATCTATTGCCGCGTTTGAGAATCCACATCCGATGCATCTGAGATGTAAAAAATCTTTGATCACGTGATTCAGTATACGTAAATGTAATGGGATAGATGTGTCCGATGTGGATAAAAAAACGCTCGAGATGTAAAAAATGCATCCGATGTGGATTCTCAAACGCAGCATATGTGTATAAGAAATAAGGAGGGAAGTAAACTTAGGAAATAAGGTGGTGTAACTGGTGTAATTTACACTGGTGGACACTGCACCTACAGCGAACGAAAGAACCTAATGTATGACCGGGATTAAAGGTAAATAGAGGAGCTTTGGCCAATATCCATGTGGGTGAAGAAAAAATAGTGTTTGTGTCGTCTCTACTTTATTCTATCTCGATGCCCACGATCAACCATTTTGTTCGAAATGTCCAATAAGTGACAAATGACAGGCACGCGAAAATTAATCTTAACTGAATACACAAAACTAGTAGAGACCATTATCCAAAATTTATAGAAGATATGAATGACCTTCTTGTACGTCAAATGTCAATACAATGATTTATTTGTCAAGGAATGTTTTTTTCAGTCGCAGTTTGTAATTTTCGAAGATGAATTTTTTTAAAGACAAATTTTTCGAGATAACTGGCTATTATTTTCACAGAAACACACCTCCACTGGAACAACCACGAAAAATAACTAAATTTCAAGTTTATTTTGAAAAAGTGTATCACATATTAAGCTGGGAAAATATCTCTTTAACCTTAGCAATATTTTTAGTTCTAAATTATCTCTTTTGGTAAGTACACTTCTATTGTATACTTCTTAATAAATTTATTCTTACTGTTAGATCATTAAGGGATGCCTTGGAGATTTACTAGTATTGCTTTAAATTAGATTAGACATCTATTCGCAAGCACATTGTTGATCAATTCTCAACTCTTAACATGATTTATGAATTATACCTTAAACAAAACTTAAAAAACAGTTACATTACTTTTGATTTATTTTGATTTTGTTAAAATTAGAATTATATTAACCCATATTTCTTTAAATTTATACTGCTCCTCTACCTAGGTTAAAATTGCAAGTCATCAGAAAATGAATAGTTTTTGTGTATCAATAATGTATTTTATATAAGAAAATGAAAATAAGAAAGATAGTCATGTATTTATTAGGAAACTTATCATTGAATTAAAAATAAAATGCTAGATCTATAGTAAAATATATACAAACCTCACGAATTCTTGAATATGTATCATCTGTTATTATTACCCATTATATGTATGACACAGACCAAAAGCAGTGCAAAATTATTTTAGATCTATTAAATATTTGAAAATACATTTATAGAGCAGGGCCAGAAGTAAGGAAGGCGTTTGGTAGGTGGAGAGGTGATAAAAGTCAAACCCTGTCAGATGATTTTGAGAATTTTGTGTTAATATTTGTTTGACAGTGTTGTATTGTAAAATAAAAATAATACCAAACATTTTCAATGATTACTGGTCAAATCTGACAATTAGGGACTAGAAATAATAATTTAAACGAGTAATAATATCCTAATTCATAATTCTACAAAATTTCAATGGTTATTCCCATAAATCCAAGGATTTATGGAAGGGTCTAAATAAACTTCAGTCCAGAAAGCAAGAAATAACCCTACCTATTTCACTGCATAAACCTGAAGAAATAAATAAGTACTTTTGTTCTGTTTTTGACCTATTAGAATATTATAATACATGCATGGAAACAAACTAGCATTTGATTTTATAACTGTCAGATAATTTAATAAACTACTCCATAATATCAAATCTAATGCCATGGGTTTTGATGCTGTGTCAATCTCCATGCTGAAGTACTGTAGTCCGCATATTAATAATTACATTATGTACCTTCTAAACTACTTTCCAGCATCTTGGAAAATTGCAACAATTAGACCACTTTGTAAAGTTGCAAAACCTCAACATTTTTCTGATTTAAGGCCTATTAGTATTCTGACTGCGATGTCCAAAATTCTTGAAAAGGCTATCTATAATAGAATTTCCCTTTATATTGATAAAAAGGAAATACTTCAATTAGGGCTGGCACTTAGAATCAGTTTTACTGTATGCCAGCTCTATTTTGCAGTGTTACATTAAGTGTTTGTTTTTTTACAATTATATTTTTTTTGTTCCATATTATGTGTAAGCTGCAAATAAATGAATTTATTATTATTATTATTGCCAGGTTTCCAAAGCATAGCCCTATTCTGCAGCTTCTGTAGTCAGTTCAACTCATTTTGATTTAGTAAAAAGAGTATTGTAGAGCAATAATTTACTGGAACCTTTAATGCATATAATTAATTGTATTTTTAATACAGGAATCATCCCTAAACAATTTAAAACTTCAATTATAACACCTATTTATAAAGCTGGTAATCCAAAATTAATAACTAACTATAGACATAGGCCTATTAATTTAATTAGTAATGTGGCCAAAATATTTAAGAAATGTTTGAAAGATAGACTGACAGATTTTTTAAAAACTAATGACTTACTTCCCAAGCACCAATATGGCTTTACTGAGGGTCTTAACTCAGGAGATGCTATGCATGAATTGATTTCATATGTTACTGATGAAATAAATACTGGTAACAAGTGTATAGCTATATTTCTAGATCTAGCAAAAGCATTTGACACGGTGCCACATCAAAAGTTCTTAAATGTTCTTGAACAGAATGGAGTGAGGGGCATTGTGTTGAAGGTTTTTGAAAATTATTTGACACACAGACAACAGAAGGTAAAGGTCAGAGACAATGTGAGTAACCCTGAAAATATACAAATCGGAGTGCCTCAAGGGACTGTTCTGGGACCTATACTATTTAATTTATACATTAAGAGCTTAACTCAGATTGATATTCAAGGTAAAGTTGTATCATATGCTGATGATACAGTGCTAGTCTTCAGTGATAAAGATTGTGAAGCATGATCTATGAATCTCATCTGCTTGTCAATCATTAGGGGGCGTCCATTAATAACGTGAGGTATTTCTGAGGATTGTTTGACCCCCTCTCCCCCCCTGGTGAGATTTCGTAAGATTTTCCTCAACTCCCTCCCCCCTCCCCTAATCTCTCGTGAGATTTTTCCAAATTTGTGTTTTGGGTGTAAATGCGTTGGATTATTAAAAAAACAAACACAATATATTTTATTACTTTTATTTAAGACTAAAAATTTTTAGAAACATTCTTTACTTTAATTTAATTTTCACGCAATTTTACACCGTTTTCTACTAGAAAAAAAATACGTCAGATTTACAAAGACCCCCCTCTCCCCCAAGTGAGATTTGGAAAGATTTAGCTTGATCCCCTCCCCCCCCTTGAACACCTCACGTAATTAATGAACGCCCCCTTACCCCTAAGTATTTGAATTTTTCTACTAACTGTATAGAATTTCCTTCAATTGTTATGTTATATTGTTTATCAACAAACTGTGTTGCTACTTATCAGCATACATTTTGTTTTATTTGTGTTAATTTTCAACAAATTATTGCAACACCATTTATAAACATGTTGCAGTGTTCCATTAACAACTCTTACCAAATTATCTGAATCCTTACAAGAAAAATATATTAGGGCATCATCAGTAAACAGGTGAATGTCACATTGATCCTTGAAATCAACAATGACATTAAAAACAACAGGGGACCCAATATACTTCCCTGTGGAACACCTCTGATATAGCTAATTTCCTCTGACAAAATGTTATTTACTTTTAACTTTTGTTTTCTCTTACTATACCCATACTTTTCAATTTTTTTATCAAATGTTTTTTAGCAGTCTCGAATGCCCTTTGAAGATCTATAAAAACTACCAATGTTAGATAGTTTTTATCAAATTTATATTTCTAATCATATAAAAGACACTGCATAGCTGATTCACAGTTATGTTTACTTCTGAAGCCCAATTGTATTCTAGTAATAAGTTTATTTTGTTCTAAAAAATTAACAATTTGTTCATAAACGACCTTCTCAATGATTTTTTCGATACAAGTTAACATACTAATAGGCCTTAAATCTGTAGCTTTATTTGCGTTTTTTGTCTTTGGAACAGGCACTATCATAGCAATTTTTATAACATTAGGTAGGGTCATGGCACTACTTATGGCCACTACCCTACTTATGGCCATTTCTTGCTTTAAGACCTAAAAATAAACGTTTGGCAACATTGTAAACTATAATGGTGGTTCGAGAAGGTAAATGAGCATGTGGTTACATGATTGGGTAGGTTTGCAACTAACAAACCAAGTCCATTGAAAATCAGTAAAATACATAGTTAGCATGTGTAATACAGAATTTATCTGTAAACATTGGAACAAAACTCAGATTTAGTAAAGATATTTTTGAAAATGTTCCATTCCAAAGGTAAGTAGATGTTAATACCCAATCATATTTTTTTTAATAAAAATAAATATCAATGTGACCACAAGTAATGACAAGAAATTAAGAATTCATGAGTTATGGCCTCAAGAGTGGCTAAAAGAAAAATCTCATATTTTACTTATGCCCATCGCAGTTATTGTGTGGGTTGTGGGAGTTACTTGTTTTTTTAGCTAAGAAGATGAAATGTCACTGGTATCTGACAGCAGTGGCAGTTTCTCAGATATAGAACCACCAGTAATTATGCAGTTAGGCAAAACATTAAAACCAGGCGACTCTATATTGATACAGTTTAGTGCCTGTGACAAAAGCAAATCGATCGTATATAAATAAATATGTACACTAAACTATGGAGAATGAAATCACAAAGAAAAAATTACGGTTGGATATACAGGGTGTTTCATAATATATGCGCAGGACTTCAGGACGTGATAGCTCGTCCAAAAATATGAAAAAACGTTTCTATTAACTTACCCTCTAAAATGTACCATTTTCGAGATACAGGGTGTTGAAATTGAAAAAAAAATTCTACGTCACTGGATAAAGTACGGTTTTGAGACGCCTATTTGAACCGCCAATGTTTTCTACACAAAAAAGGTACTCTTGGTCATACGCTCTAAAGTCAACCGTTTTCGAAAAAAATCAAATTTTGTTTTATTTCCAAAAATTGACCATGTATTTCAACATTAAAATTTGACTCACAAAAAGTTTTTGTCACTGCTTAAGGTAGTTCACTCGTAAAACAGCTTTTCTTAAGAATTCAATAAAATTTAAATAGGTTTATGAAAGTGTCGTTTACGTAACTAAAAAAAATTAGATTTTTTGACCATCTGTGAAACGAGATATTAACAATAAAAATGTGCATAATTAACACTCTTGAAGCCTATCATGTACACAAGCAATGCATTTATTTCAAGATATCTCGAAAATGGTTCTTACCATATTTTTTAAAAACTAATGTTAAATAAATAAAGAAGTTATAAAATTTTATAAATAATCGCTGAATTTTTTGACCTTCTTAGTAAAAAGATACAGATTTTTAAAATAAAAATATTTTTAAAGCAGTTGACGAGTAGTTTCGTAAAATTATGCCATGTCATTTAAATTTTTTGAAAGGGTTGCTCCCCTCCAGTAAGGGATGAAATTAAGGGTAAACTATTCATACAAAAATGTACATTGTAGAAATCAAAAATCGACGTGTCTCGGCGATTTTCCTAACAAGACTCCAGTAATGAGTTAGATAGGGGGGGTAAGACTTATGGTGCTCACTGTATATCATATTATTATTATTATTATTATTTACACAAAATTTCTGAAGCATGTCATCCATAATAGCCACGTTAAAAATATAAGATTGTTGCATCAGAAATTCCATTGCTTCTTCTCTGTGTTATCACATATTTTTCTTTTTCTAAAACTTCAATTTAATATCTTTGCTATTACAGGTTAATGGTACAATTGGAAGTTCGAATATTGGGTTTCATATTCTCTTTGTTCCTTTTATTATTTATATGGGATTCATTTTTTGCAAATACTGAACAATTAACTAGTAATGCCAAATATTCAGATGTCTTCGATAATACACGTATTATTGTCTATGACACCATACTTAATCTGAAATCATTCAGAAAAGAAAATCCATCAACGGTAAGACGTTTAATTTAAAATATACCAAATTTACTAAATTAAAATATGTTTTAGTTTTGTATTTCACTATCATTGGCCTTTTTTATTCTACGTCTAATAGCAACAACCATATCTGGATACGAGGCTGTTTACTGCTTACTGTTACTTACCTTTTTCTTGCCATTAGGATTCAAAATGTTGCCAGAAGAAAAAGCGGAAAATTATAAAAATAGTATTAAATCCATTTTTAATATTACAGGTATTTATATTATTTTTTTTTATATTGAATTATATTTTATAGCTAAAATGTTGCAGGTATTCTAGCTGAAGAGGAGTTAATTCCTTTTATTAGCGATAAAGATTTTGCAAATAGAGATAATGATTTAGACAGTTTGTTAACTGATAGGACTGCAGGTAAGCTAATGTTTAATATTATGTTATTTCTTGCGTCAAAAAAAGTAACAGAAAATATTGAAACAACAATTTGAAAATGTTTTTCTCTATTTTCTATTATTTTGAATTAATTTAAGTACGAAACAATCTTTATTGGGGGTAATCGCGAAGGGCTATTGACCGAATTCTTTTGGTTCCTAAATTTTATGCGGTTAATATTTTTTTTGTCTTCATATTATTCTTTATCATTTTTGTCATTAATTTCTCTATAATTTATCATATTGGAGTGAAATTTTAGGAAATGTGAAAAATTCTTATGTGGCAATGAACATAGGTGTGAAAAAATGTTTAAAATAAAATGTGTATGGAATTTTTTTATCTTTAATTCGTATTGTAAATACTTTTTGCTTAAATGGACTGTTCTTTATGGAAAGTTTTATGTTTGACATATCAAACATTTTAATTTAAGGGTATGGTCCAATATTAAGAGTTATTGCTCTGGACGCTCGAATTTCGTTTCAGGGGAAATTTGCATCAGGTATCTCCTCTAATACTCCCACCTCAAAATATAGAAACCATTGTCAGAGACATTCATTCAATTGCATATTGCAATCCGTAACTACCGCCTAGGATATACAAATATTGTTTTGGGATGGACTCAGTATGGCTGCGCTAACTTATGAAGACAGTTGGCAGCATATAGAAAACTTGTTTATTAATAATTTTGGGGAAAAATGTATTCCTTATAAAAACTTAAAAAAAACAAGCATCATATATAAAATTTTATCAGTCGTAAGTCGTATACGAGGTTTGACAAAATTAAAAGCAAGTGTACAGATAGCTCAAAAAAAATAGATATTTGATGGTTGTATTTTGAGATTTAGAACATGAACAATTTTTCATTGAGAATAGGTACTTTTTTTTTCTAAAACTAATAATAAAAAGTATTTCCTATACAAGTTGACTACTTATGTAGACACTGTATATTATTACATATCTAAAAGTTTATTAAAATTTAAATATAATTTATGTATATTATTTTGCATTTGCATTATTTTGAAGCAATGTTCAATGGTCTGTTTGGTCAAATTTGACTTAAGTGATAACACTCCTAGGGAACTTATCAGTGTAAGTTAAATCTGATTTGCTGATGCACGTGACTGAAAATGAATGATTTTAGTTGGTTTTCTATTCATGTCAGAAATTTTCATAGAAATTGGACAACGTGGTAAAGAATTATCGCTCAAAATACATTAAAAAATTAAGAGTTTGATGATTTTCTCATGGACCTCATTGGTATATCTTGACCACCCCTGAGGTATCTTCTTTCTAACAAAAAAATATTCATAGAAATCCGATGACGTAGTAAAATATTATCTCTGAACATACATAAAAAAAATATTTTATATTTTATAGAAGCAATCCTAAACAAAAAAAACAACAAAAAAGGATTCAAAACTAAAACAAAACTAGATTGTTTTTAATTTATTTAACGTCGGTTTAAAATGTGTTGTTACTCTTTTCTTTTTCCTTATATCAGTTCCGAAAATACTTTATTTAAGTTCGGACATGCCCTTTGAAAAATTTATTTTTCATTAAAATTTGACAAAGATTTCTTCATTTTCTTTTTTTTTTAATAAATATTTATGGTTTTTATTAAAAACGTTTACATAATGGTGTTATCCTTTTGAAAAAATAATAAAATATAATTATTGTTGTGCCTTCTAGAATTAAAAGCATTTGCTCGAAATTCACACATTTCAGTTGTAATAATAAACAGTGCAACAGCTCTTAACTAATTAACAATATTTCCTTTCAACAAACTGTGTAAGTATTTAGGTATGTACCTAATAATTATTATTTTTATCTAAACGAAAGTTACAAATCTAAAAAGATTATTTGTACTGGCGAGTCCGACACTGATAAAAATTGAGAAACGCCAACCAAGCCTCGGGCAGTGCTTTACACTAGTCGATTGAAAACGAGTCACGCCGAGCAATGCGTCATTGAAAATGCAATCGTGGAGAGAAGGGAGTCAAAATATTTGGTTTTATAGATATTTCTGGGAATAGCAACCTTTCCGTATTTATATGATTACATCGTTATTTCAAATCCAATTTTTATTTTTATTTTTTTATTCTTTTAAGAAAAGATGAAACTACATTTACATCGTTATATTTGAAAAACAATGCATTATTAATATAATAATTTGTCTGGTAAAGTTAGGTTCTTTTTAACAATTTTATTGAACTTTTAGATTTTTTTTTGGTTGAACCGTTTATATTTTATTTAAAAGCGTCTGTAGGATGATAGTCCAAGCCTTTACCTTTTTGCAAAAAAAAAATTAATAAAATATATTCATTATTGTGCCGTCTAGAATGAAAACCAAATACTCGAAATTCACACATTTTGATTGCATTTGTGAGCGGTGCAATAGCTCTTAACAGATTACTAACCGCAAGTAAAGGCTAGTTCATGTAGTTGCGAATCGCGAATTGCGAATCGCGAAGGTCGCTGCCATTGGTCAATATCACAATAATGACAAGATGGAAATTTTGACAGCTCGAAAGTTGAATTTCTTGCGAATTCGCATTATTCAAAATCTGGGGGGCGGGAATCTTGAAATCGTTTTAATATTTTGCGAATATCGCACAAATTTTATGTGAGCGCAAGCGTAGTAGCGCCTGCTAGAGTTTGTTCGTTTGTTGTGGATTATGATATAGGTTATCATTTGTATTATATTTGCGGTATTTGCTAGTATGTTCATGATATTCTTCTTTGTTTTTTTTTTAGTGTGATTTAGCCGAATATATGCTAAATTGTGATATTGATAACAGAGCCCAAACTGATGTTATTTACACAGACTTTTCTAAGGCCTTCGACAGACTTGATCATGACATTCTGCTTAACAAACTTGTAGCTTTTGGATTATCTCCTTCTTTAATTTCACTATTTCAATCCTATCTATGGGATCGAAAGCAATATGTCCAGCTTAATGGTTTTAGGTCTGCTGAATATAGTGCTTCTTCTGGTGTTCCACAAGGGTCGAATCTAGGACCCCTCCTTTTTATTATGTTCATTAATGATATTGCAGATGTTATAAATGTAAATTTGCTTTTGTATGCTGATGATCTAAAACTATACTGCCTCGTAGAGAAGATAGGTGATTGCGAGAACCTTTCAGCAAACCTAACACGGATTGTTGAATGGTGTTATCAAAATAACTTGTCACTAAACCCAGATAAATGTAAAGTTATGTCGTACAGTTTAAAAACGAATATCCTAATATTTAATTATTCAATAGAAAACGTTGCTCTTGAGCGACCGAAAACATTTACTGATCTTGGCGTCACGTTTGACACTGCACTATCATTTAATAAGCATATTGATAATGTTGTATCCTCCTCCTATCGAATGTACGGATTAATTGCACGTAGCAGTAGTGATTTCAAAGAAACCTCTACCTTAAAAACTCTATTTTATGCTTTTATAAGATCAAAGTTAGAATATGCTTCAGTTGTGTGGAGCCCCTTTTATCAGTATCATATAGATCGAATAGAAGCAATTCAAAGACGATTTTTAAAACTGCTAAGCCTGAAAACTGATGGCATTTATCCTCTAATAGGTACACCTCACTCTGAATTACTACAAAAGCATAACTTTTTCAGTCTCGATAGAAGGCGTGATTATTATAGTGTAGTAGTAACTTATAAAATTATTAAAAGTATTATTGACTGCCCAACCTTATTAGAAAAGTTTAATATTTGCATTCCCAGAATTTCTTCCAGACACCCGAATACTTTTTATATAAATACATCTCGCACAAATGTTCTGGAAAATTCTCCGCTCCATACCATGTGTACAGTAACAAATTCTATTGTCAATGAACTTGATATATTTAGTTGCAATTTGTCAGATATAAAATCTCACTTTTTATCTTAGTTAATTTGTTACCTATTACGAAATACAAGTTCTTTTTATGTGCTTAACATTCATATAAAAATTGTGATCTATTAATAATTATATTCTGTCAATTCCTGCTCTGTAATTGGGTTTATGACCTGTAGAGTATTGTATTATAAATAAATAAATAAAATAAATAAATATTTTGTTCTTTGTTGTTTCCTGTTTAAATGTTTCACAGACGTAAACTGCGTACCATTAATTCTAATAATATGTATTTTTTAACAATAAATAAGGCTAATTCATTATCGTATTCGTCATTCATTTTATTTTATATAACTATTTATCGGTAGCAGACACGAATCGGGGTTATGTCACTGAACTATATAGGGTTATGTATTGTTGTGGAATCAGTGTTGTTTCTAGGGATTCTTGAATTGTATAACTTTTAATGTCAAAATTGTACACTTTTACGTTCGATTGTACAACCACTAATTAGTCTACTACCACAGCTTATACAATACAGCTAAAACACTCTCTTGGCGGCAACGGTTTGCGTCGATTTCGTCGCGCATCGCTTAAGCTCCGCCTTCGAAGGGAAAAGACGGTTTTGGCGTTCAGAAGCGTACTTAGGCAAGGTGTTGAGTCGTGCGTATAATTTCGTTGATTGTATAATTTCGTGGAGCCTATAATTTCGTTGATTTTGTTTGAGTTAAAGGTACTGTTATTATTTTGGTGACTCTTTAGCTGTGAGTAGAATGAGTTTGTGCAGTCAAAAGCTGTTTTAATAAGGGTTATACCTGCAAGAAAACATTCTTTAGTACTACATTATAAGAAATTTTCATTGTTAAAAATATAATTTATTAGTGCGTTATTGTTCATTATTTTGTTGTAGACACGCAAGAAAGTTTTAAATAAAAGTTATATGGATTTGAAAAATACCTACATATTTTAAAAATATCTTTGGATATACAGGGTGTCACGTTTTTGCCTGGAAAATTAAAATGTATGTTTTTTAAATGGAACACCTTGTATTTTATTTTATGATGAAATTATTAACACCCTAAATTATTGTAAAGACGAATTGCTACAGAAAAATTTTATCAGGTATGTGTGTG